AGGCCGACGGCCGGCACAGAGGCCTCCCAGCACAGCTCGCACAGCACTGAGGGCCACCCCTGCCCACCTCGGCCTGCAGGGAGGCAGCACAAGCCAGCCACACAGATGGCCTTTCCCCTCGTGAGCAAAAGCACTCCTTCCTTCCTTGGCTGCACACAGCTGGCACAGTGTTAGAAGAAAGCCTCCCCAAAGCAGCAGGCACTGGGCCAGTTCAAGGACTGCTTCTACTGTGGCAACAAAGGATAGCCAGAAAAACCCAAAACCCTTCAAGTCGACAAGCCTCAAAGACACCTGCAGCCTCTGGAGCCCAACAAGGTAAAACCCACCCTGGACTGCTGTCAGGTACCTGCCACTCCATCTGGCTGTACTGTGAAATACCATGTCTGAGAAAGAGGCAAAACATTCCTTTTGTTTGCTTTAGCAATCGGAGTGCAACAGATAACGTTGCCAACCACCCAACTCCATCCCCAACCCACCAAAGGCTACACCAGACAGCTTACTTCTAAATCTTTATTTGTTTTCTACACGGAGAAAACAGAGGAATGTCAAAGCAGCAATATTTGAACACACTAGCAAGGAGCCATCAATCTGTGAGTGCACAAAATGCAACATGGGGCCATTTGTGCGGTGGTCTCTAAGGGGCAGGGTGGGGGTCGGTCCAGGAGCTGCCTCTTCGGACAGGTGGGAGGGCTCTACGCAAAGGTGGAGCCGTTCCAGCCCACGTTGGCAGCATTCATGTCAAAGTAGTTGATGTACACCCTGCAGAAGAAGCACAGAACGACAAACAATTACTTCATATAAAGCGTGAGGATGAAAAACAGGACAGGGGACTATGCCTCCCATTCCTAAACTTTTGCTGAAATCTAGTTAACTTCTCTGGTAGAGTCTCCACATTGTGTCTCAGAGTCCCTGGAATTGTACTTTTTTTAAAAAATACAAACTTTCCTTCAGCTAGGGACTGTCCAGACACCAGACAGCTTTTGATTATCAGCCTGTCAAGAATTTCCGGAGATCAAAACCTTTTGTTTCCAGCACTGCAGTCCTTCACACGTGTCCACCAGCCAGCCTGCCTTACAAAAGCCAGCAGGCCCTCAGGGCCCGCTCTGCACTTCTCCCTTCCAACCGCAGCACATCAGTGGCAGCAGGTTCTTCCCGTGCGTGCAGACACTTTCCCAAGACTCCTCAGCCTGCAAGGGAGCTGTTCACAACCTGCTGGTTTCTACCCTGTCTTTCAGCTACAGCCTTTTACTGTTCCTCTCTTTCCACTCTTGTGTTCCACCACCAGAGGACAAGTCATCCCACCTCGGAGGGAAAACAGACACTGTACAACTTGTTGGTCCTGTAGTACTGTTCCCCACTCTAACAAGAAGCCATGGAAGGACTTGGAATGGAGAGATGGAGGCATCAAACTTGTAGAGTGGACATAAAACCACTGTAAAGGATGACTTTATAGCTCCTCAGACTTATTCCTGGCTTTTCTTTTTTTTAAATAAACTTTTCAAAGCAATTTCAGAAAGCCAGATAAATAAGGTTAAAGTCATGTTCCACCCTCACCTGTCTGCAGATACATGCAAGTGCTTGGAGATGAGATCACACAGGAGCTTGGTGTAACTCTTGTTCTGCTGCCCTCCAATTTTGCCGATGCTGTAAAGGCTGCAGAGTGCACAGGGATCGGTGGAACCCCCGAAGGACATCATCTGATCAGGTATGATGTGCACGGCAATGTACTGCAGAAAGAGAACAGAGGTTACAGTAGATCTCACCTCCCCTCTCCCGACCCAAACTGGCTTTAGAGGCCACCTTTAAGCAGCTCCGTGGTGCCCGCGCTGCCCACCGCATCCCACGGGGATGCCCTCGGCCGCGCCC